CAGGCAGGAGATTGGTTTGGGAACCATCAGCACTTTAACTTAGACAAGTTCTAACCGTGGATAAATATATACAAGGGACTGAGCAAGGCCCGGGCAGAAAGAAGGCTATGGAAGAGCCACCAGAAGAGAACCGGAAGAGGGTCATGAAGAACAAGAGCCTGTGGGCGCCATGTCCCCTCAATCGCATGCAGGAAAGCTGCTGATTTGGACACCAGGGGTCATGTCTAGAGGAGGGAAAGGCAAATGAAAATGAAAGTTGCATTTTTTTCCCATAAGGCACTTGCTCATGGGAGAGAAACAGAAAGAGAGAGGGAGAGAAACAGGGAGAGGGAAAATGAGAAATGACTGGGGGGGGTGGTTGTATGGTCACACTATAACTCCTTCTACTCCATTTTCCTGTTGGGATTTTGGGCATGCATATACTCCTGGCATAGATTTTCAAGCCACTGGGTCTAGGATTCAGAAGATGGTCAGCCATGAGGGAGTCCAGCGCCTAAACCATCACGCTGCCTGCTGGTCCCAGAAAGCTGCATTTTTAGTCTTTTGTGTTTAGAATTTTCTGAGCATAATGGAAAAACTAGTCACTGGGTTCTCGTTCTGCCTCTGCCACTGATCTGATTTTCACACCACTGGGTCTGTTGGTCATGTGGGGCCTAGCTACCTTGACCTCCACACCACCTGGCCTCTTAAAAACTTTTACAAAGTTTAAAAATAGTGCCATGAACAGCTATGTATTCTCCTCCTAGATTTAATAATTAACATTTTGCCATATTCACTTCATCTCATACATATTTTTTGGCTGACCATTTTCAAGTCAAACATGCTGACATTTCATTTCTAAATATTTCCACACACATATATTTCTTACAAGTAAAGGCACTGTCTAGCATAATCACAGCACCTTATCTAACACACAAAATAGCTCATAAAGGCTGGGCAAGCCTACTGCTTAAGAGAGCTGGATCACATATGGCGGACTGTGGTTCAAATCCTGCCCTTGATGGCTTGAAAAACACACTGGTGTGTGTGTACGCATGTACATACTCCCAAAAGGATGAAGCGGAGGAGAAGGGATTGTGGTGTGATGACGTCCCATGGCTAGTGTTCTTTCTCTCTGGAGAGTGCATATATGTCCTCTGGCAATTAAAAACAGGGAAAAATTATTCATAAAAGCATTAAATGTCTAATCCATATAAAAGCCAAGACATATTTCCATATAATCTAAAGTATTCCAGAGATTAAAAAAGGTATGTTTGGGGCCAGCAGATGGCGTAGTCTACTGCGGTCTGAGTCCTGGGCTCAGCGATTTAAAATTCACACCAGGCGCAAGTGCAAGCATAAATATGCCCAAGATCCCCAGAGGAGAATGGAGGGGAAGGAACTGTGGTGTGGCCATCCCCCTGGGGGATGGTTTCTTGCTTTCTGTCTCAATGTCTGTCTCTGTCTCTCCAGCAAGAGCATGCACCCTATTGTGAAAACCTCTTTAAAAAAAAAAACAAAAAGGTTTAAAAACCCATTTACTCCACAAATCTGTCAAAGCACAAAACCACAAAAATTAAAAAAAAAGAGTGTGATACAAATGCAAAAATCCTAAAATAGACTATCAGCAGATAGACTTCAGTATATTAGAGGACTGATTCATCCTTACGGGCATGGTGTTTGAGATCTCAGTATCCCTCCCTCCCTCTTTAGGTACCAGGTTTGTAGCTGGATCCCACGTGTGTCTACCTGCCTCAATCAGTCAGGGTCATCCCATCCACCTCTCAGTGACTCATTCAAAAACCTCAAGACAAGCATCAGCTGTTATTACCCTGGCCACAGAAGCGAACCCACCGACAAGAAATTCTGTCCTTTTGCTGTGAATTGGCCCACCCCACAAATCAGGGCTTTTCTGTCCCAGAGGGCCATTGTTAAAACTCTTAGCGGCATGGGGAACCAGCAGTTGGCATAATGGCTATGTCGCTGGACTCCCATGTAATAGACAGTGGTTCAAGTCCCGGACATGGTGGCTTAAACTCGACGCCAGGCGAGTGGGCGAGCATGTCCAAGATTTCAAGAACGGAGAAGGGATTGCGGCGTGGCTATCCCCCTGGGGCGTGATTTCTCGCTTTCCGTCTCTCTGTCTCGCTGTCTTTCTGGAGAGCGCACATGCCCTATAGCAAAAAGCTGTCCCCCCAAAAAAACAACTTTCAGCAGCACATCACCTCGACTTGGGCCACTCTCTCTTTGTCCCTTCGCCTTTGTCTGGACTGTGCTGCCATGAGCAGTCTCTCATTGTGCTTCCCAGCGTGCACAGCAGGCGATCACCCGGCGTGTGCGGCCCGCGGGAGCGTAGAGCCCGCAGCTGGCAGCCTGCACCCCAGCCAGTGGCCCGTAGCCCCGTGGCCCGTAGCCCGGTAGCCCCGTAGCGCCGCGGGGGGCGGAGCCTCGGGCCCCGCGGCCCCGCCCCCTGCGACGTGCGCCTCGCCTCGCCTCGCCCTTCCCCCGCCTGGCGTCAGCCCGCGGGGGAGGGCCGGAGGGGAGGCTTTGGTGTGCGCCCGCAGAGGATCATCCGGATCAGCTCCTCGATCCGTGTCCCCGCGGCCTTCCCTGACACAGGTGGCCGCGGGCGGGTGGCAGGAGGCGGCGGAGGGCGGTCCAGGCGCTCCCTGGGTTCCGGGCTGCGAGGAGGCCCGACTGGACCGCTGGGACGCCGGGGCTCCCTGCCAGGCGGGCGCCCGCGCTCCTGCGCCGGCTCTCCAGAGGCGGATGCACTTGGGATCTCCACGGCGCGGGCTGCCGCGGGGTAGTTCTGACAGCCCTGGGTGTCCTCGCGTTTCGTGCCCTCCCGCCCGTCCCCTGCGCGAAGCTGACAAACCAGGGGTGCGCGTGGTTCCCCATCTCACTTTACAGTTCTGATTCGGGCTTCAGTTGTCGCGGTGCGGCTTTGCTAAGTGATGTTGTGCAACTTTCGCCTGCAGGCGTCCTGCTTCCTCCCACGTACAGGTGTTAAAGAGGGGCCAGCAGGTGGCGTAGTGGTTACGTCGCTGGTCTCCCGCGTAGTCCGCTGGGGTCTGAGTCCCGGATCTAGGACCTAGGGGTGCCCAGAATCCCGAGAGGAGAATGGAGGAGAAGGGATTGCAGCCTGGCCATCCCACCTGGGGGGTGACTTCTTGCTTTCTGTCTCTGCCTCTCTCTGTCTCTTTGATAAGCGCACGCACCCTATAGCAAAAAATAAGTGTTGAAGACACCTCACAGATTTATATTTTTAATATTTAACTTGCCATTAGGGAGCTTGTGCTTGTCAGAGACAGAGAGAGAGAGACAGAGACAGAGACAGAGGGAAAGTGAGAAAGCAACCCCTAGGGGAGATGACCACACAGTAATTCCTTTTCTTCCATTCCTCTCTCAGGATTTCGGGCATTGGCAGGGCAGGGCACAGGCAGAGGCAGAAATAGGGTGTGTTTTTCAAGCCTCGGGGTCCAGGACTCCAACCCAACAGTTGGCCATATGGGATCCAGCTGCCACAACCATCATGTTATGGTCCAGCTCCCTCCTAGATTTTTATTTGTGTAAACAAAACAAACATTGGGCATTCCTTTAAATGTTATTCCCATTGCTGATCCCTTCACTGAAGCCACTTCATTCTTTCCCCCTTCCCATCCCCATTTACTAAGGCTTGTTGTTAGGTTATGATGAATATTAGGGACCTTAAAAGTCATTGTATCCAGGGAACCAGCAGTTAGCCTAATGGCTATGTCGCTGAACTCCCACGTAGTCGACCGCTGTTCGTGTCCCGGACCCGGTGGCTTAAAACTCACGCCGGGCACGTGTGCATGCGTGCCCAAGATCCCGAGAGGAGAATGGAGGAGAAGGGATTGCGGCGTGACCATCCCCCCTGGGGGGTGATTTCTCGCTTTCTGTCTCTATGTTTCTGTCTGTCTGGCGAGCGCACGCGCCCTACAGTGAAAATCTCCCCCCCCCCCCAAAAAAAAAAGTCATTGTATCCAGGGCCAGCCCCTCACCTGGTGGTTAAGGGAGCTAGATCCCACATAGCCTACCCTGTGGCTGACAATTTAAGTCACGGACCTGGACACAGGGGCTATAAGAACACATCTGGGCCCTGTGTAGGCACCCAAAATCCCAAAGGGAGAAATGGAGAAGGGATTGTGGAATGTCTATTCCCTGTATGGGAGTGCTTTTTCCTTCTCTCTTTCTCTTGCCAGCTCACACATCGTCTGACAAATTAAATAAACAAACAAACAAAAAAAATCTTTGAGTCATTGTGTTGGCCAGATGGTGGTGTAGGGGTAATACCTGGACCTACATGGAAGGTCCTCAGTTTCTTCCAGAGACTCCATGTGTACGCTCGCAGGTGATTGAGACTCGGGGAGAGCAGCTGGGAAGGCCTAGGGCCTTGCTCCCCAGACCCGGCCTGTCTTTCTTTCTCTCATGAAAGAAATCAACAACAACAGAGGCATTAAAAATCACAGTAGCCTGGGACCAGCAGTTAGTGTAATGGCTATGTCGCTGGACTCCCACGTAGTCAACCATGGTTCGCGTCCCGGACCCGGTGGCTTAAACTCACACTGGGCACGTGTGCGTGCGTGCCCAAGATCCCGAGAGGAGAATGGAGGAGAAGGGATTGTGGCATGGCCATCCCCCATGGGGGTGATTTCTTGCTTTCTGTCTCTATGTCTCTCTCTGTCTGTCTGGCCAGCACACGCGCCCTATAGCAAAAACTTCTCCAAAAAATAAAATCACAGTAGCCTGCCCGGCAGATAACATGGTGGTTAAGGGCACTGGACTCCCACATGACCGACTGTGGTTGAAGTCCTGGACCTGGTGGCTTGCTTTCTCACTTTCCCTCTCACTCTCTCTCACTCTCTCTCTTGCTCTGCCTCTTTCTGGTCAAATTATAATAAGTAAATAAAGTTAAATAACATAATTCTTTTAAAAATATATATGGCATAGTAGCTTCATCTTACAGAGGAGGAGATGAGCTAGTGTGTCGCCTTGGCATGGAGGAGGTCGCCAGCAGTGCAGAGTCTCTGCTGCAGCACCTCTGTGGGGTGGGTGATTTGCTGACTGTCCGAGTCCCAAGCTCGATCTCCTGCTCTGTAGGTGAGATGGAGCGAAGGGAAGCCATCAACATAGACGTTTTTCTCCCTGAAGCAGAGATGAAGCCTAGCTTCAGAGTTACAGTGGAGACTTTGGTGGATCTGCATGTTCTGGTGTCAGCTCAAGTAACTCTGCCCTAAAGTAATCCCAGTTGTTGTGTTTGTTTGTTTGTTTTGTCACAGGGTGCATACTCTCACTGGAGAGAGATGGAGAAAGACAGAGGGAAAATGAGAACTCACCCCCCAGGAAGGGTGGCCACGTTGCAATTCCTGCTCCTCTTGGGAGTTTGGGCACGCATGCACCTGGCATATTTTTCAAGTCACCAGGTCTGGGACTTGAACTGTGAAGTTGGCCCTGCATATTAATCCACCATGCCATTTGCTGGCTCAGAAATCTCAGCTTTTATGTTCTGTTTTTATTTTTGTTTTTGTTTTCTTGTAAGAGGTTTTTGCTATAGAGCACATGCGCTCGCCAGAAAGACAGACAGAGACAGACAGACAGAAACAGAAATCACCCCCCAGGGGGGATGGCCATGCCATAGTTCCTTCTCCTCCATTCTCCTCTCGGGATCTTGGGCACACATGCACACGCGCCTGGTGCGAGTTTAAGCCACTGGGTCCAGGACTCGAACCGCAGTCAACTACATGGGAGTCCAGCGACATAGCCATCATGCTAACTGCTGGTCCCTTATGTTCTGTTTTATGTTTCTTTATTTATCTCCAGATTCAGAAATCACTTAACAAGCTGCAGTCAGGGTTAGTTTTCCTCACCATATTTAGGATAAACCAGGGAAAAAAAAAAATTGAGGTTAACCCTATGCCAAACAGGCCTTCATTAGAGGCTGGGGTCTGACAGTGTTGCTTCTCTGGAGACTTTACACTGTTCCAGTAGACACCCAAAGAGAGAGAGCGAGAGCAAGAGCGAGCTCTCTAATGGGATCTTCAGACTCAGGGGCAGAGGTTGGGTGGGAAAGTTAGGACGGACCATTGCTAATAATTCCTGAAGTTTTACAGACCTTCATAGGTTACAGTGCCACTTTTGGTCTTCTGCTGCAGCCTCCCATCAGGCCGTGAGCAGGAACTGTGTATCAGTCAGTGTCCAAGCCGGACACAGAAACCACACTAGTAAGTTGAACAAGGAAAATTGACATCAAGAATTATTAACCAACAGAAGGTAATTACTGTACGAGCTAACAGAGAACTCAGAATACAGGAAAAGCGAAGGTAGGATGTAGCTACTACCTCAAGGAAGGCATAAGCTTGGAAGAGCTCCTAGCCCCTTGCCACAGTGCTGAGAACAGACCTTATTGGCAGGGCTGGCTACATCATTTGTAGAGACCAATCCCCTTGTCTCAATAAAAAAAGAAAAAGTGACATCAGGTCTGCATTTTACAGTATCTTCGAATCTCTAAACAAATGGTGTTATTAGCTGGTTAATGTCATGTTCCCTTGGGCCAGGAAATGTCCATGGGGTAAATGCAGGTCATCACAGGTGCCTCCAACTCCACTCTGTGACCAAGCACGTGTGCAGCCGCTGGCTGGCAGGTTTCCCCTCTGACAGCCCCTGGGCTGATGTGTCATGTCAGAGCCGCTGGGTGGGAAATTGAAACAGTCGTTTCCCCTTCCCGTGCACACTGCCCCAATTCAGTGGATAGGAGACTTCCAAGGGATTGTACCCTCTCTGTTAGGTCCTGCTTTGTGTCTGGGATAAGGGGTAAGGCTGTACCTGGTCTTACTTCAAGCTATCTTCTCTTTCATTCTGCACATTACACAGTAAGAAGTTGGCCCTGCTTACTCCATTTCAGACTTTTGTGTCTAGCATAAGGATTTGCCCATGGATGTTGGTCTATCTCAAGGTTTCTAAACTCTAGCACTATTGACTATTGATATTTTGGACTATTCAACTTTATTATTCATTCATTTATTTTAATTTGACCATAGAGACATACACAGAGAGAGAGAGAGAGAGAGAAGAGGGAAAGTGGAAAAGCAAACCACCAGATCCGGGACTTGAACTGGAGGGAGTGTCCAGTGCCTTAACCACCATGCCACCTGCTGGTCCCCTGGATTAGGTCATTCTTGTGGTGGTATCCAGTGCATTGTAGGGTATTCAGCAGCAATACTGATTTCTGTCCATTAGATGCCGTAGCTCACCACCAGTTATAACAGTCCAGAGTATCTCCAGACATGGCTCTCTGTGCCCAGGGGGACAGGATTGGCCTCTGTTTGAGAACCATGGCTCTGTTTGCATTCAGTGGTCAGAGCTAATGCCAGCTCTTTTCTTTGTCCTCAGCTTTCCGCTTGGCTCTCATCCAGCTTCATATTTCTTCCATCAAGTCAGACAATGTCGCTCGAGCTTGTAGCTTTATCCGGGAGGCAGCAACCCAAGGAGCCAATGTAATTTCTCTGCCAGTAAGTATGGGCAGCAGCCCTTGGTGGGCTCTGCAGGCCCAGCAGAATATGTTCACTAGTTCTGGTTGTCTTAGTGTCTCAGGGTCCAGCCACATTCTTTGGAGCCCCAGAATTGTTTCATATCTGTCTGGAAGATGAACATAGCAAGGGTCTTTGTAATGTGACAAGGTTACAGGTCTCTAACTTTCAGATCATCTGCTTTATTCAGATGAGGAAACCAAAATTTCAGTATGTTGAGGGACTTATCTAAAGCTAAAATACTTAGTACTTTAATCACTTTGACTCTTATGTAATTAAGATTTTATAGAACCAGAACATGTTGGTTTTAGTACTGTGCTGCCAACATTTTTGTAAAAATGAATTGAACATTGGGGTCAGCAGGTGGCATGGTGGTTAAGGCACTGGATTCCCACATGGCTGATTGTGGTTCAAGTCCCAAACCCAGCAGCTTGAAAATCACAACAGAGCAATAGATAAATAAATAAGTGTTCTTTAAAAACAAACAAACTAACAAAACGAATTGAACATTGTTTAGAGACATTTAAGAAGTCTATGGCATCTTAAAGCCAGAGGATGCTGCATCTCTTTCATAAGTGGCTTCTTTAACATGTGAATCAACTGAAGGTTATACCTCATTTGTTTGTCAGCAAGTACAGGATTGGCCCCAGAGAGGGATCCCCAGGTGTCAAGAGATAGGTCTCCTGGCATTGTCTTCAAAGGCCTTAGCAGGAGTCAGTGGATGGAACTATTCCAGATTGCCCCGTCTCACCCACAAGCTACAGGGAGGGGGCCGCTCTTCGCAAACCCTATGTAACAGACTGGAGAGTTATCAAAGCCTCCTTGTGTTTTATTTAGGTTCCAGCTACTCACAAATGTGGACAGAGAGCAGGAATCTTGAACAAGGAAACTTGAGATCTCAATATTAATCCACTTTTCCTTATGGTTCCAGTCATGGGACTTTTCTATAATTACTATTGGGTCATCAGAAAACTCATGACCCATTTTTTTGTGTAAAAAACCCTATCGTGACTTTTCTGACAATCCAGTACCTAGTAATGAAGGTATCTTGTTAGTTTATGTTGCTGAGGTTAAAAGTTTGAAGCCCAGGAGTCAAAGCAGTTGACTTCTGCATATGCCTGCTTCCCTGACTACCTAACATGGGTCTTGTCCACGCTAATTATCTTTGGGTTTGAGTTTCTTAGCGCAGTGCTGGTATACAGATGATCTTATTAAATGCAAAATGAATGCATTAGAATTGAATTTTATCATTTTTGCCTTTTGTTTCCTGACATGCCACAGAGCTGCTGAAGACAGATATATACCAGGTGGATGAGACTTTGTAGGATCAGATTGATAGTATGAGAAGGGAGCTTAGATGCCACTCATTTTACAGAGGAGGATGTGTCTTAACTTCTGTAGCTCCAACGGTTTGGGATTTTTTTGTACACTGGTTTCATTGACTATGTTTTACCCCTTCAAGTGAGAGTAGAAGTGGAAGAAGTAGCTATGTCTTTGTACAGTAGAACTTTTAAATGGGTTGGATGTTTTGGTGGCTGTTTTCCTTCCCTTTTTCTCTGTCACTGTTATTCTAGGAATGCTTTAATTGTCCATATGGCACGAAATATTTTCCTGAATATGCAGAGAAAATCCCTGGTGATTCCACACGGAAGCTTTCTGAAGTAGCAAAGGAGTGCAGCGTGTATCTCATTGGAGGTAACTTCCTACCTGCAAGATGTAATGGCCTAAACATTAAAAGCATCTGAGGGATTCATGTTGTTATATTTAAACTGTGGAACACAATTCAGCTATTGAAAAGAGTGAGGTAGAGATATCTGTAGGTAGTAGTGTGAAAAGATCTTCAAGACATACTATCTAGATGGGGCCAAAAAAAGCACATTCAACACGATATAAATAGTATACCCATTCAGATTAATACTACCACAAAAGAAGGCTGTATATTTGTGTATGTAGTTACATGTATGTATAAAGACATAGTAAATATTGTACAAGAACACACACTATTACCGATAAGGATGATCTTCTCTGGAGAAGGAATGGTAGTACAGGGGTGGTAGAAATGTAGAGAGAGGAATCCTAGTCATATATTTTTATTGTACTAATCTAGGATTGAGGAAAACTTTTTTTCAAAGAGGCCACATACATACAGATAACTTTATTTTTGTGTTTTGAAATAAATATTTTTCCTATTTGCTGAAATAAATACATGCACAATACAACTGTTCAATAAATACAGCAAAGAAAATTATGTTTGATGATATATTAAGATTTAAAAATGGATAAGATGCAGGAAATGGAGGCAAAGAAGAAATGCAGAGATGGGACTAGAGAAACTACATTCAGTGACAGGCTGGGACTTAACATCCTCATCTCGGGGCCTTTGGGAATACAGTTCTGTTGCAGGACCTGGTGAATTTAAGTTCAGCAGCAGGGAATTTTTCATTTTGTTTTAATGCTACAGATTAAATGTTGCTCAAGATCATGACTGAATTTTTGCAGCGGTTTGGTTATTTCTTAAAACTTTCCAGTATCTATGCTTTGTCTATATTCTTGAATTTGTCACTGAAAGATTGTATTCAAGAAGGGGAAAAAAATGATTAAATAACCCTTAGAAGATAGTCAACTTTTTTGTTGAACATAAGTGACAGTTTATCAAGCCTTTATCCAGTTATTACAAAAGGGTTGCTCTGTTCTTTTTTTATTCTTTTTCTTAATGTTTTGTGTGCTTCTCTCAATGAAAGGCTCTATTCCTGAAGAGGATTCTGGGAAATTATATAACACCTCTGCTGTGTTTGGGCCTGATGGATCTTTATTAGTAAAGCACAGAAAGGTAAGTAGGCAATTTTCATTGCCTTTAAGAATATGCTGTGGGGCCAACAGGTGGCATGGAGGTTAGAGTACTGGATCTCACATGGGGAATGGTCACCCACAACTCATTTTCCTCATTTCTCCATCCTGTCAGAATTTTAGGCACACCTGTACATACTCCCGGCATGTTTTTCAAGTCACTGGGTCCAGGACTCAAACCATGGGGTCAGCCATGTGAGAATCTGACTGTTTAAGCACTAGGTCACAGTCCTTTGCATTTTTGTATAGATTTTTGACTCAGGGGCCAGCAAGTAGTGTGGTGGTTGAGAGCGTGGAATTCCCACTTGGTTAACCATAGTTTGAGTCCCAGACCTGGAGGCTTGCTTTCTCACTTTCTCTCTCTCTCTCTTTCTTTTTCTCTCTCCCCCTCCCTCCCTCTCTGGTCAAGTTGAAATAAATAAAGTTAAATAAAATAATTCAGAACAAATTTTTTTTCACTCAGCCTTTTCAATGTCTGATAAGAAAGGCCAGCTGGTGGCTTGGTGGTTAAGGGTGCTGGACTCCCACGTAGCTGACTGTGGTTCGAGTCCCAGAACTGGCAGCTTGCTTTCTTCCTTTGTCTCTCTCTCTCTCTCTTTCTCTCTGGTCAAATTAAAATAAGTAAAGTAAAATAAAATAACTCATTATAAAAAAGAATTTTGGAAAGGTTGAATCAGTTTGGGGAGAGTTGCAGTATATTTGTAGTATTAAATGCATATACATTTGGAATTGTTAAGTCTTCCTGATAAATTGATCCTTTTATCATTATGAAATATCCCCCTAATACCCTTTTTCATGTAGTCTATTTAATCTCTACAGTTATTATAACCACACCAGGCTTCTTATTGCTTACAGTTTACCTGATACATGTTTTTTAATCTTTTCTTTTAGTCTATGTTTGTCTTTATATTTTAAGTAATTTTTTTTTTTTTTGGAGAGGTTTTTGCTATAGGGCATGTGCACTTGCCAGACAGAGAGATAGAAAGTGAGAAATCACCCGCCAGGGGGGACGGCCATGCCACAATCCCTGCTCCTCCATTCTCCTCTCAGGATCCTGGGCACGCATGCACACACACCCAGCGTGAGTTTAAGCCACCAGGTCTGGGACTCGAGCCGCGGTCAACTACGTGGAAGTCCAGCGACATAGCCATTACGCTAACTGCTGGTCTCTTAAGTAGTTTTTAAAGGGAAGAAACACTTAACAGAAAAAAGAATGTGAAGTTCTCTGTTGAGAATGATGTGTGAGAGCTAGCAGATGGCATGGTGGTTTGGGCACAGAATTCCCACATGGCCAACTGCAGTTTCAGTCCCAGATCTCACAGCTGACTTTCCCACTTTCCTTTTCTCTCTCATTCTCTGGTCAAATTTTAAAAAATAATAATAATAAAACAAATGAAATTAAATAAATAATTTTTTTAAATAAAGAAAAGAAAATGATATATGTAGTAATGTCCTTGATTTGAATACCAGGTATTACATGCATACATTGAAAATCATACCATGTGCTATAGAGATGTACAATGATGATGGGACCAGCAGTTGGTATAATGGCTATTTGACTGGATTCCCATGTAGTCAACCACGCTTCGAGTCCCAGACTCAGTGGCTTAAACTCATGCCAGGCGAGTGTGCGTGTGTGCCCAAGATCCTGAAAGGAGAATGAAAGAGAAGGGATTGCAGCGTGGCCATCCCCCCTGGGGGGTGATTTCTCGCTTTTTGTCTCTCTGTCTCTCTGTCTTTCTGGCAAGCACATGTGCCCTATAGCAAAAACCTGTCCAAAGGGGGGTGGTGGGGGGGAAGAGATGTACAATGATGGGATCTAAATAAAAATAAATAAATAAATAGTACATTTTTGTGAGTAAGATTTCTTGCATTTTCCTTTTCTTTCTAAAGAACCTAGTTCTATTTTATACCCTTTTCCTTTAGATAGAAGGACTGACTTCAGCAATTTTTTAGTGAGGATTTACTAGCTATGAATTCTTTTTGCTTCTGAATGTTTCTTTGTTTTGCTTTCATTTTTGAAAGTTTTTTTTTTTTTTAATTGCCAGAATATGCATATGCTAGCCGAGAGAGAGAAAGAGAGAGAGAACTCCTTAGTGGAGCATGGTCATGCCGCAGTCCTTTTTCCTCCATTTTCCATTCTGTCAGGATTTTGGGCGTGCATGCATGTGCACTCGGCACGTGTTTCAAGCCACCAGGCTGGTATTTGAGCCGTGGTTGGCCATACAAGATCCAGCTCCATATGCTTCACCACTGTACTGTGGCCGGCCAGAAGATGTGTCTACTGGAATAGAATTCAAGGTTGACAGTTTTGTTGTTTTCCCCAGCAGGTGTCTCATAGCCTTTTTAAGTTTTTTTCTCCTTTTCTGATCAGTGGCAATTTGTACTGCTGTCCCCCTGAATGTAATTTGTTGTATTTCTCTTCCACCTTTTAAGATTTTTTGGTAATCTTTACTTCTTAGTATTTTTGTTTCTCATGTGTCTAGGTACGGGTTTCTTTGTGTTTGTGCTTCTTGAATCTGTAAATTTAAACCTTTTGTCATTTTGGGATATTATTTTGCTAATTATTTTTTTCTCTCATTCTCTTTTTATGGGACTTCACTACACGTAAGTTATATTTTTAATATTATTCCAAGAATAAAAGGCTTTCTTTTTATTGCTCTAATCTTATTTATCTGTGTTCTATACCATTTCTGTCAATCCGTCAAGTTCATTGACCCTTTCTTCTGTCATCTCCAATCTTCTATAAGCCAGCCAATCTGGTGAAATTGTTAAAAATTTAGATACTGACTTTTTCAGTTCTAAAAATATCCATTTTTTTGTAGTTTTTCTTTCTCTGCTGATAATTCTATTCATTTATTAATTAAATATATATATACACATACATATTACACACTGATCCTGGTTTTAATAGGTGCTTTAAAGTCTTTGGTAATTGTCACATCTGGGTCTTGTCAGGGTCCATGTTCATTTGTTTGCCCCTTTTTTTTTGAGTTTGGGTCACATTTTTGTTTCTTTGTATATCTGGTAGTTTTGGGTTTGTATATTGGACTATACATTGTAGGGATTCTAGATTCTATTATATTTCTCCATGACTTTTTTTTTTCAGAGAGTTTTTTTAATTTGATTTGTTTTGTTCTGTTTTGCTATAGGGCCCATGTACCCACTGGAGAGACAGAGAGACAGGAAGTGAGAACTCACCCCCCAGAGGGTATGTTCACACTGAAGTCCTTTCTCCTGTGTTCTCCTCTTGGAATTTTGGGCATGCATGCATACACTCCCTGCATGAGTTTCAAGCCTCTGGGTCTGGGTCTCGAACCATGGTTGACATGTGAGAGTCCAGAGATGTAACCATTACACCACCAGCAGGTTACATACCGAAGATTCCACTGTATTTCTCCAAACACGGTTGAATATTTTTGTTTTAGCTGGTATTTAACTTGGCTGTATCCAAACACCAAACTCTTACCTCCTTTATGAGGCACACAGAAACTTTAGCTGTTCTGTTCTTTGTTTAGCCTCAGCTGGCTACTTGGAGGCTGCCCTACATGATTTTAATTCAGGGGGCAGCCAGAGATTGGGACAGCTCTCTGTGTAGAATTTATGTCTCTCTTTGACTTTATCCTTTTCAGAATTTCTCCCCACACTCCCAACTGACCAGCTGCTCTGAAAACTCGGTCCTCTCGTTCTTCCAGTCAGTATGATCGCATGTAGTTTTCACCCCCACTCCTAACAGTGAAGGGTTTTGCTTCAGGATAAAGCTCAAAATGGAAACTCACCCAGTGCTGTTCCCTTTTTCGACTTTGCCTGCTCTTGTTATTCTTCAGTGTTTTCACTTGTGCTTTTTATCTTTGCAGCTCATTGTTAGAAGTAAAGTGAGAGAGCTTATCTGATAGGAGCTAATCTGCCATTGCAGGAGGAAGAGCCAGCACTGGGCTATTAACTCCACCTTTACAAGTGTGGTTTTTCAGTATCAAGTTTTCTAGTCCATGAGTGTGATATATCCCTTTATTAGGCATTCTTTAATTTCTTTTTGTTTTTTTGGGTATAGTCTTATATATCACTCGTTAGCTTTATTCCTGATTGGTATTATTTGTATTTTTAATAATACATAAGGAGTTTATTTATAGTATGTAAGGAGTACAACTAATTTTTAAAATACTGACCTAGCATATAGGAACCTTGCTAAACTTGCTCATTAAGTCCAACAACTTATTTGTAGATTTTTTTTTTTTTGAGTTTCTTAGTACACAATTATATCATCTGAGAATGGTAACAGATTTCACGTTTTCTTTTCCAGTCTTTCTACTTTTTTGCTCCTTCTTTTTGCCTTGGTTTAGGATGGCCCAGTGTTTACCAGCAGGTGGCCTTGTCTCAGTCTGAGGAAAGGTGCTCAGTATCTCATCATGAAGTATGATTTTTGTTTAGTTATTTTCAGATACTCTTTATCAGATTAAGGAAGTGCCCTCCTGGAGCAGCTTTTCTGTTGTGTTTTGATTTTGAATCATGATTCATTGTTTACCCAGTGCTCATTGTGCGTCTTCTGGATGATTATATGTCTTTTATTTTGTTAGTGTGGTACATTCATTACCTTGAGTTTTTTTCTTTTCTTTTCTTTTTTCAGAGAGATTTTTGCTAGAGTGCCTGCGCTCACCTGAGAGATAGAGAGACAGAAGGCGAGAAATCACCCCCTGGGGGGATGACCACACCACAATCCTTTCTCTTCCATTCTCCTCTCAGAATTTTGGGCACGCACGCGCGCGCGCACACACACACACACACACAGTGTGAGCTTTAAGCTGCCGGTTCTAGGATTCGAACTGCATTTGACTATGTGGGAGTCTAGCAATGAAGCATTACGCCATTTGCTGGTCCCACATTGAGTTATTTTCTAACGTTAAACTGATTTTCTTTGAATAAATCCAGTTGGGAAATGAATTTTATACATTGATGAATTTGGTCTGTGAACTTTTTACCTATTTTTAAATGCCCACCCATTCTCTGCCTTCCCTACCAACAGTTTGACTCTGATTCTGAGAAGCTTCATTCAGCATTCACACCAGGTGAAAAAGCAGCACCTTAATTACTTCCCATGAGAAACCTGGACAGTGATTTGCACTCTGTATAGAAAACGGGGGTTGCAAAACCACAGCATCATTTTTTCAGTTTCCTGCACTGAAGTTCTATTTGATCGGCCAACTTTTGGGGTGGATTATGGGCAGTGGGAGGTACTGTTTGTCCTGTTGGTCTTAAAGCTCCTCCCATTTCTGACCAAGGAAAGAG